GGGGGGGGGGGGGGGGGGGGGGGGGGAGATTTTAATCCTTTCATGCACAAGGAAGTTATTTTGATCCTAGATGAATTGGTGTTTCAATTTCCTTAAATTTTATTTATTTTTTTATGATCCATGTTGATCTGAGTTGAACCAAGTTGTTCTGACCCAGAATGGTGGTCCGCGTTGATCTGGTCCGACATCTGACATTTGCACACTGAAAAACATGGTTACTACTGTACATAGCAGATTAATTGTAGTAATGATAACACAATTATTATGTACAGAAAACTTTACCTTTAATATCTTCTGCCAGATTTGGTTCACTGACTGGTTTGCCAAACCTTGTCTTATGATCAGAAGTTAAAGGCATTGTCTCTGATGTCAGGTCCACTTCGGTTACAGTGTCTGCTGGTCTGTGCATCACGTCTGCTGCAAGTTATTGATTAAACAAACAGCATTAATTATAAATTAATTCTCGACCTGTATCTATTCTTAAAGAGAGCAGCCTGAACTTGACACACTTACGAGAAAATAAGTGAAATTGAAAATAATTCAGCTGTAAGTAAAAATCATTGTAAATTAATGCAGGCATCTGAAAGAATTTTTGGGGGTATGGCATTTCTGCAATATTTTAAATATTTATTGCTTTCGACAGAACGTAGTTCTAATCGCGTAATCAATAACAATTCAAGCCCCGTGAATCCATCTATCTAGCTATCTATCTGTCTGTCTATCTATCTCTTGGGGGACACTAACTTGGCCCCCAAAAAAAATTATTCAGGGGCTAATGACGTCATGTCCATGCTTGTCGCGTCTCCATGTACTCGTTGCGTCTCCATGTGTTTATCTGCTGTTACCGGCAGGTTGCATATTTAAAGTTTGAAGTTAGAGTTATGGCGTTAAATGACCTTATCGCTAAGACTTATCGATGTCTTCACGAAATGTGTACGACTTTTGGGACAAACACAAAGGTACGGTTTGGCTGCCTGTTGTCTACCATCTTGACTTCGACCAAAAACCAACACTGCTTTGTGAGGAATAAATCGATGGAGGAAATGTGTTGTTTCACTTTGCTGGCTTTGATTTCTGTGCGCAAAGTACATTACTTTAACTTACCGAGTTGTGTAGCTCAGCAAATGGCCATGATTCATGGTTATAGAACCATCTTACCGAGTTGTCTAGCTCGTTATAGCAGGTTAAATGAATGGAAACAGAAGCCGCACATTTAACTAGAGAATGTTGGTATGTAAACAAACACCTAGAAAGACTGTTCACCTAGTTAAACGGCTTATTAGTGAATAACAGTTTATTTATTTTACATGAATGTAAATGATTATGTTGTTCTGGTCCCCTTCAGTCCCAGGTCATTGAAAGTAAATTCAAAATAACAAACAAAACTTGGCATAGCCGCAGAGCCTGAATTACAAAATTCCGCAAACCAAACTGAATTTGCCTTTGGGCAAATGAGAAGATTTTCATGAATGCAAATTGAATGGGAGCTTTAAAATTGCTTACAGGCCAGAGTTTAAGCTTGATCTTTTGTTTACGTTTTGAATTCATGCTGAGTTTACCTCAAAACATGAAATTTTGAAGGCCTACTATTTTTACGAGTCTACGGAGACTAGCGCCAGTACGCAACGTTTTGAACAACAAATCGGCCATCGTAGTCTATATAAGGGACCTCTTTACTGGCATGGACTTTGACACTATGATATATCTGTCTGTGTAAAACCTCAGTTGTTCATGAAAAATGTTGATTTTAGCAATACACAGAGGTTGAAAGTCAGCTAGTTAAATCATTTAAGGTATATATATGAAAGTGACCATGTCAAACGCACTCATGATGTTTGATTGCTACTAGTTTATATTCTTTGTTTGGCAATCATTAATTACAGAGTAGTGTACACTTCCTGCTATGTAACTAACCAACATTTTTCATACTCGTAAACAAATAATTAACAGGACTCATCCAGTAACAGTCACAGTGAAATAGGTACACTGGAATTCTGATTTCTCAAGCCAAAAATGGTTCAGAAATGCCAACTGCAGAGGTATTGCTTCATCCCAAACAACCAGCTGCGGGCACATGTTCATAGAAACACTGCTGCAGCAGCTTTTTTGTTGCAGCAGATCTTTATTTACAAACAAACATAGTTTATATATGTAACAGAAATTTGCAGAGAGAAACCATTGGATACTTGACCATGTGGCATGACAGGAAGAGGGTCTGGCTCGTTACCCCCAGGGGGTTATGAAAAAAAAGTGAACCATTAAAATAGAGAACAGAACATGTCTGGAAGTTTTAGTTTTAAAAATTTTCAAAGCCAGAGTTACTGAATTTTTCGTTTAAGTTATCAGGACTTTCAGTTAATTCAGGGTTCTAGAAATCATGATTCCATGATATAACATTAATACATATAGGTCAAATCTATTCTACATACCTTCAGTTGGTGCAAAGCCTTTAGGACCACTTGGTTTAAAGCCAGTAACTGCCCACTTCACCATTACATCTTCTCTCTCCCTGTCAGTAAGAGCTTCATCCTTTTGCTCTGAGCTTTCCTTTTGTTCAATCTGTGCTTGTCTCATTCTGCCACCTTGCTTGTTTTTCCTTAGTTGCTGATTGTCAGGCTTTGTGAACACTTTTCCACACCTTTTAGCTGCCACCTGGTACAAATGTAGATTAATGAACAAAGTTTCTACTGGTTTTACATCAATATTGCTTATATCTCCTAAGATGTATATTTAAATACCTTGACTTGCTGTGGTTCAGTATTACCATTGATAATATATAGATTTAGGCAAGCCTAAAAGCAGAGCTCCTGGGCCGGGTTGTTCAAAACCCAGTTTAGCTACCCCGGGGTAGATCAGAATTTTAATTTTAATTTTGTAACTTTGCAGTGAGGTTTTCTGTTTACATTGTTTGGCCTCATGTTTTGATTTTGAATAATCTCAAACTACACCAGGAGCCCATGACCCAAAAGCAGAGAAAATATTTGCATAGAAGAAAGATTTACACTTCAGTTAACTGTTAATCCTGGGTTAACGTTAACTGGCTTTCAAACAACCCGGCCCTGATTACAACAAATTAACCTAACATGAGCCCACGATCTAATTGAAAACCACCACTTAGTCAGTGGTCAACTTTAAAAGAACACAAGACCTTGATGATCTTTAAACCTGAGCCTACGATATGGTCACGTGATACTGGTCAGCGGATACCTTGTTTTGACAGGTGTCAAAATATCAGGTATAAGCTTTAAGCCAAGACTGCATGACTTGGTATTAGCTGGGGTATGGCTGCCATGTTGCAAGATGTTGTTGGCGTCGTTGGGCGCACACGCCCGTGATCTATGCCGCTAGCCACGTTAACCATGAAGAAAGAGTTGCATGGTTTTCTATTTCTATGCATGCATGTGATCCTGTTCCTATAGTTATGGTGCTCCGCTTGGCGGACCTTTGGGCCACCAGAGCTCTGCTATAATTTAGTATTTTCCTTTGTTTTATATACATTTTCATATGTATTAACATTCACTGACCCATACAAAAGAAAATTTCAATATTGTATGAAGGTTTAAATTGAACCACAGCATCAGCATACATAGTAGTCAACTGCTACTGTTATATCAGGCAGCAGATATGTTGGCAGGTCAGTTTTAACCACTATACACTTTACATACAAATAATAATATGAGGGGGCATGGGCAGGCTCTGACCACCACAACGCCGCAAAAAATTAACAACCACGGCATCACCGCAAGAGAAAACAACAAAACACTGTCACCACAACATATGTTTTTAGCCTCATGACTTGACATAACAATGTTTCCAGGAAGTCAGACATCCTGACAGAAACTGGTATTTTCACAGAAATAAACTACGTAGTTCAGTTTCTTTGATCTTTGGTCTGAGAGAGGTTAAACAAGAAACCACAGCACTGCAAATAATTTCATTTCACAGAACACCATAGGGTGATAAACACAACCATCGCACCCTGTAGGGTTTGACATCACCTCAACACCACAAGGTGGGATTTTATTCACCGCGTCACAGCGGCAGAAAACAATCAACAATGCAAAGTCCCACATCCTCCTCTAATATTAACAATTGAAATTTAAAAAAAAAATTTTCATATCTAAGAACAATCAAATAATTACGTATTATAAAATATTGTCACAAACTATAAACTGGTCCTTACAGATGATAATTAAAGCATACATCAAAATGAAACTTACAGATTAGAAGAATACATAATACATCAGGAAAGAAAGCCCTTGCTGCAGCATTTTAATTTTGCAAATAAAACTCAACAGCAAAGTTGTCATTAAGTAAACGAGAGCATTATCCTGATTTAAACCAAGGATTAATCACATTCAGTGGCAGGTCACTTGAGGTTACCACACCAGCAAGGTGGTAATGAAGGACTACTATCTTACAAAATGAAATCGAGAAGTTAACTTCTTGGGCCAAGACATGGCAAATGCAGTTTAATGTGACCAAATGCCACACAATGAGGTTATCACAGAAGAAAGAATCTGTATTGACAGGCTACTTTACTGATGTTCAGAAGATGTCCCTGGTGACAAGCCATCCCTACCTGGGAAGTATGCTAACCAGTGATTTAAGATGGAACTCTCATGTTAGTAATATTGTGATTAAGGCTAACAAGTCACTTGGCTTTGTTAAACGTGACCTATATCCTTGTTCTAAGAGTACAAAGCGTTCTGCATATGTTACCATCATCAGACCGAATCTGGAGTATGCCACAGCTGCATGGGATCCCTAACAGCAAGATCAGATTGATGCGATTGAAGCAGTTCAGCAACGTGCAGCTAGGTTCATCAAAAGGGACTACAGTAGAAACTCTGTTACAGGAATGTTAGAGTCACTAGATCTAGATCCTTTAATTGTTAGATGTAAAAATCATAGATTGAATGTATTTCAATCAGCAGTTGGCAACTCAATTGCACTGCCAATACCTGATTAATTTTTACCCAAACAATGTATTGATCGATCATTTTCTAAATTCTCCTTTATACCAGCAAGTTGCAATGATGATAATTATTTTTATAGCTCCCAGACTGGAATTCTCAAGATCATTGTGTCTCATTAATTAGAAATGATTAATTTGTATTTACAATTAATTTATTCATTTTCCACATTTATAATTATGTCATTAGTTTTTACAGCGTTTCACGATCAATTTACTCATTTTCAATATTTATTTACTTATTTATTTATTTATTTATTTATTTATTTATTTATTTAGTATACTTTATTTTTTATCCTTTTGTTAATTTATATTGACTGGTTGCGAAAGCGTCATCAATTATTAAATGTAGATGTAGGTGAAAATATATAAAAGGTCCTTATAACCCAGATTTTTAGGATACATGCTCTCTCTCCCACAAACAAAAAAAAATTCCCTACAGAAAGATCCAGATGTGGGCATGAAAATTATATGAAAAAAAAACGTGTTCCGTCTACAGAATACACTTTTGCAGAAAGCAAGCTCATTTAAACAAAACCAGTCACTTGGAAATGACCTGTTGAGTGACTGAGTGGTAGTATTTGCACCAGAATGTATCCAGACTTTCCAGATTGTCCAATGTTTTTGTTGTTCTTGTATTTGCTTGTGATAGCGGTGGTGGTTTTTGTCTATAATTTATGAGATTTCGCTTGTAATATTATTCTATTGAAGTGTGCAACATACCTAGTGCTGAAAGATCTTTTCCTCATTTTGAAAGGAATTCCTTACCTCTAGGCTAGTAATGATGGCTTTCCTATAAAGTCCTCTCATTTTTGGAAGGTTGAAACTTTCACTGAACGGAGATAGTGGCCGTAAACACTGCACAGGAAGCTACAAGCAAATAATTTAGTCAAGATGAGTTAACCTTACACTTTTAGTACGTAATATACAGTAATTATCAATCTCTGAGACAAATACTGTTTTGCAGTTTGTCAGAATTATAAAAAAGGAAATAAGCATAGAAATTTCTGATGTATTGTCCATAATAATTTTTTTTAATATCAATTTGTCTTCCTCTCAGTACATATATTTGAATTCAAAGTTGCAAATCTATAAGAATAATGTGGGGAAAAATATAGACATTAACCCCAGAAGTAAAAACTTGCTTAAAAAAAAAATAAAATAAAATAATAGGATTTACAGTGTGGAGATTTTAATCTTACAAACCATTGAAAGCTTGTTATCTCCAAACCACTTGACCCAGTGAGTACTCGGTGAGGGAGGAGCTTTTTGTGCTTCATTATATGAGACAACACATCCAGGCCACCAGTCATAGCCCTTTAGCCGGCCCCATATCAATTGGCCAAAAACAAAGTCAGCTGCTTCAGGCTGTTGTGACAAAACACATGTTTTTGACACTGTCACTAAATATATCATATCAAAACTTAATTTTAAAAACAAATAGCATCATTGTTTCAAATAACGAGAGTGATACTTATCAGTCTCTCGACTTAAACAAACAAAGGACCATCCAATACCAGATCATAATGTAACAGCTAGCTGATATATTAAGAGCTGCTAATTTTGAGAGGAGAGGAAAACAGTCCGCCTTTAAGCAAAGCAAGGTCAGAATCAACAAAATCCTTAATCCACCAGACTCTCAGCCATAATTAACCTAAGGGCACATGCTCCTTCCTTGAAAAGAAACTGGGAAACATTCCTACACAAGATCAACTAATAAAAAATCAAAATCAACACAGCATTTTAAAGTTGCCCAAACCTGAGATTCAAGTGTCACACCATAAAAATAAAACAGTTGAGGAGAAAACCAACTATGAACTCAACCCACATATAGCACTGGGCCACAGTCAAACCCAGGCCACACTGGTGGGAGGTGAGCACTCTTAACCCTACACCATCCCTACTCCCTATTGCAGGGTTACCCTCAGCCACCAATTTACAACCTGGGAGGAGAGAAGCACTGTGAGTGTCTTCCCCACAAACACAACACAATGTCCAAGGGAAGGGTTCAAACCTGGACTGCTCAATCGGGATTCAAGTGCACAGTTGACCATGAGGCCACTGCACCCCCACAAATGTTAACAAGAATTTGTACAAAAACAATAAGCAACAATTCCACCAGATTTTTTAATTAAAATTATGTCACACTGGTTTGGAAAAACCATCAATTCTCAGAAGTGATCAGCATAAAAAAACATTATGTACAGTAGAACCTCCACTAATGGCTGCCTCTCTACAACAGCAACTTTCTTAGGTCCTTGCAGATAGTCTATACATTCACTCTTATTCTAACCTCTGTACAATGACCACCTCTCCATGATGGCAATGGCCACAGTCACTAAAACTCATCACAGCTACCAAAATAACCTCTCCACAACAGCCAGTTAATCGGTGACTAATAAACAGTCTATTCAAAGCCCTATTTATTTTTTCAAATGGTCACCAAAGTTGATCCATACCATCAGGTTAAAGATATCATAGTAGTTCTTGTTTTCATGTAACTGTATTGTCTCACCAGGGTGGATGCATACTGTAAATCCTCAAATTAGTACCCGGACACTTATTTCAAATTTAGAGGACACAGGGCACTTATTCGAGGGAGGTGCTTAATCTACGGGGCACTTATTTAATTTCTCCAAAATTATGGTCAGATATGATCACGTTTTTTGTAACATATGTATGTGTCAGTCCCTCAGAAGTCTCAGAGGGATCCTGTCTCTCTTGAAGAACCATGTAATATAACCCCTTGAGCCGGTCTAGGCCTGCTGCACAAGGTTGGTTGGCTTTAGGCAATGAATCAGCAGATCTTCACTACCATCCGTTGCAATGGTCAATGTGCAGTGCTTGAATAAGTTGATGATCACTTGTTTGTGATTGAAAACAACCAAAACTATACATCCTCTGTTGTCTCAGCACTCTTCCATAAGCCAGGGGGAGAGGAGGGGGGTACTCATTCGAGGGGAGGCACTTAGTTTAAATTTTGGCCGAAATGAGGGGTGCTCATTCAAAGGGAGCGCTTATTTGAGGGGAGGCACTAATTCAAGGATTTACGGTATTCCACATATTTTACATATAATTATCCATACCAGCATACAATCAGCAAGCTGAACTTTTGGCGCAATAATATTGAATAAAAAGCAATGATAATGATTTGCCAGTGAGGTGGTACAAGCAATGACAGATTAACCTGGGTTATTTCAGCCAAGAGGCCTTTTGCACGAACCGGTCACATGGAACAAAATCACACATGATGGTGAGCAAGTTCCGCAGTGGGACAAAGGCAGATCCAGGTGGACTGGTACAAGTGGCATTGTTTTGGAAGTCCCATTGTGCAACTTGCTCACCAGCATGTGTGATTTTGTACCGTGTGACCGGATCATGCAAAGGGCCTATTTCAGCCAGTATAAACTCTGTACAAATGTACCCAAGGTTAAGTAACTTGACCTCAGTAAATGTTTAACCCAGCAAATGCTCAAGAGTAAATGCACCATAAGACTTCTAATATTATCATGCCATCACTAAAACATATGGTACAAAAAAGGTTAACAAACCTCCTCCTTAGGTATCTGTTGCTCTCTAGAAGGTGAAATTCTGTGCTTTTTAACCTCTACAGGACTGATAGAAATAATTACATCACTCTTCAGGCGGATCTTTTTCTTTGATTTGTAATCTGAAGCTGAAAATTCAAGTCTTCTCTTAACCCTTGGTTTTTTAGTTGAAGTACTCCCTTTGATCGTGTCCAGGTCAGAGGGGGTTGACTGTTAAAACCAAGAGAGACAAAACTCAGTGTTACAAATGAAGTCATGAGCTATATATGACCAGAATTTAAGACAAATTCAGGTAACACTAAAATGATCTTCACCACACAAAAGGAGATATATATGTTATTTGCTGGTGTGAGGTTTGTACTAAGAAAAACTTTGGAAAGGTCTTAAGTATGGCCCAAGGCCGTAAGCTGAGGGCAATATTTTATTTATTTCATTCAAGTAGTTTTAAAATCCAAGTGAGCATTATAACTATGTATTAAATCCATGAGTATAATCACTGAAAACAAATCTCTCAGGAGTTCTGCTATTTAATGAGTAAGGCTTGAGGGAATATTTTCATTACAAAAATCAGTGAAATGTAATAAACTATGTTTCAACATCGTCGGATGCCATTGTCAAGTAAATGTGTGGGTTAGTTTTTGCATTATAAATAGATCTACAAGCTATGTACATAACATGGCAAAATATGTTAAGTGACAAGAAAACAAGAAGAAGTGACTATTAGGACGCTATGTTAAGTAAACAAACAATTTTTCTCCGATTGAGTCTGACTGAGTATTAAGTACAGTAGTTACTTGACAATGACATCCCACCACATAATTTTGTGTTGAAAATAGTTCTGCTGTTCTTATTAATTTATTATTATTTGGTAGTTTCAAAAGTAACTTCATGCTAAAACAAACTCTGAGCAAAATCTCAGAAAAATATAACATTATTTAAGCCAAGAGAACTGTTTTTAGTTACAGTTACAGTTGCAGTTACAGTTAACATATATAAGGAATTTCACATCCTTCACACTTGTGATACTTGTCTCAAACTTGGGGTCTAAATGATCCCCTTGGAAAATGGCACGATACTCATAGAAACCCCAAGGATTTTTGAGCAAAAGAAAGACTGCTCATAGTCAAAGAAATATTCCAAAAACACACCAAGCAAATGGTAACACACAGGGTTGTTGTTAGTCATAACGAGGACATACCAAAACGGCAGTGCACAGGTCAACAGCTACCATTATTTGTCCCCTCCAAACACAGCCATCTTCTCAATAAGGGAGTATCCTAGTGCTGCTGAAATAGCCTAATTTTCTACGTACTTCTCCTCTATCACAATGACCACTTTCCCCTCACCAGCACTCACTTTCACATTGAAATTTTAGTTTATTATTGACACTAGTTTCAAAAGTAGCTTGATGCTAAAACAAACTCTCGACAAAATCTCAGAAGAATATGAGATTAAGCCAAACTTACTAACGTATGCCTTGCATAATAAACTTCGTCGTAAAGTAAATCCGTTTTCATCCATCGCATTGTTAGTAATCCTAGCCTTGCAATTGGTCCTTATCATCTGTTATGTACTATCTATTTTTAGTTCTCAAAATCTTACACAAAGTAGATAAATGTGTCCCTCAGGATACCATGAGTGTTTAATTAACATATTCGTTGGGATGGGCCGGTGGGCCTTGCAACAAATTCTCATGCCATAGAATCGTGTTTGATCCAAAAAAAAAAATGTGTTGCACCATGTATGAGTGCTAATTATATTTTTGGAGCGGCTTATTTGACTTAAAGTGTTTGATCTTGGATCTAATTGGGTGATTTCTGAAATTACACATTTGCATAAGCTTAGCTTGTGTTCCTCTGTGAGGCATGCCACTTCAACCATTTTTGTTGTGCACTGTCATAATAGACATAATGGGATTACCATTTAAAAATTAAACAACGTTTAGAGACAAAAACATTCATAGCTACGGCTTAACACATTAAACAACAGCTGAATTTACGTAAACTAATCTCGATCTTTGTATCTTGCACAGTGGTACTGCAGCGATATATACTAAGATAAGCTAACTTTTAATTTAACTCAAGCTGACATACTTTAATCATAGCTCCCTGAGAATGTTGCTGTAAATTCCTGTATTGCAACTTGGAACGAAAATCGTCAATCTAAGCCACTTACCGCCATTTTAGGTGGGCAATCTGATCTGAAAATGGTTTAAGTATGTACGCACAATTTGTTTGAAAGCAGCTTTGTGTTTTGCATCGGTGCACAAAATCTCTGGGCCGGGTAAGGCGAGCATTCCGAGAACAATGGTCCTGGGTACAAGAGTTACATTTTGTGCGGTACTGTCAACATGAGTACAAAGTAAACAGCACTTCTCATTGAAAAAAGCCCAGAAATAGCAGTACATTTTGTCGTATGATGCTTTTTAAAAATGATATTACATCACGTTACCCTGGTGAAACTAGCCTCCCACGCAGACGCTCGCACGGGGGGCATTTACCATTCCTAGTGCCAGGCTTTGGCGAGGTTTTAAAAATTCTGGTACCCAGTCCAACTTGCCGTGAAATAAACAAAGCAATGTCTTGAATTGTATCCCTTGTATGTTCCCTCCTGGGTTAGTCGCCTCTTAAAGTTTGTTGAAACACGTAAGGGATAATTTATCTTTTATATGGGACGGTCGGGATTTGATAGATTGCTCCTATGGTATAAGGTCAACCCCTCCCCTCCCCACTAGCTCCCCCTCCCCCACCTCGCTTCACCAGAAATAATGTTTTTCCGATCTACCACACCCACCCTCCACCCCCACGACGTTGGATGGCTGGGCCCACCCTCTAAAAACCTGGAAGTAAAATGTGATTTTTCCTGACTGTTTTCTGGGGGTGCTTTTTTGAGCTATTCCACAAATTGGAGGGATATTGTCGATCCTGTGTGATACAGCGCCCCCAACTCACCTCCAAAAGAATGAATGATCCATTAAAACGTTTGTCTAGTGTAAAATGTGGTTTAAGTCAAATATTCAGATTTTAACTAGTTTCGCTTTTATCACTTTTATCTACCTCGGGAAAACTCTATTTTCCTAGGCCGTTGAATTAGAGATCACATAAGTACCCAGTGACTGAATGTGGGGGATGAATTGGGAATCTTGTTTTGAAGTTTGCTTAGAATCTCTCAGTTCACTTCTGCAAAATTCTCGAACAAACCAGAATTTTACGAGCAAATGCTCTTCATCTCGGTGACAATGCCCATCAGAGCACCTCTGCACGATGCATGATGGGAAGTTACTTGTAGAGTAATAGTCCAGTCCGATTGTACAACTGGTTTTATCTTCATCGGTCTAGTATTTAAGTCTCTCTACTCTTAAGCGAGGTTGTGGTGCATCAAATGAGAAATCGAATAGTCAGAAGTCCAGCCAAACGGAATTCATGGAATTGGGACATTGCCTCGTGGGCGTTAGCTCTCTTCTGAGACCCAGAATATCTTTGTCACGTGAGGTCTCACGGTCTGCTATAAAAATGTGATTATTCATTGGACTGCCATATTCACAATGTATACCTTTCGATGATTGTTCTGTGGGTAACCGTCAGTTTATCGGCTTACTTGAGGTGCAGTGGGAATTTTGAACGTTACGTTGGGGTAAAACCATTTCATAATTGTCCTCTTTTTATTTCAGCTTTCAAGTTTGCCTCACAAATATTACAAATTTAATTTCATATATATTCAGTCAAAATGTATTTTACATCTTATAAACAATAATAATAACAATAATAATAATTACTTTTGTTACATATATGTATATATAGACAAACACCAACCCCCGACAGTTGATACTGGGGCAGTTCGTGTCCATATTTTTTCATATTTATCTTGGTCGAAGTTATAACTTTACAAAGGCCGACTGTACATAGAAAAACTTGGTCTGATCATTACTCCCGCCTGCTGTCTTCTGTCCTGTTTTATTTCTGCAGTAACATTTGAGGAGTTGTCAATGGATGGTCGATCGTTAGTCTTTGTTCATTTATTTTTTGGGTATAGAAAAGGCCATCGTAATAATGGCCCACACAAGGTTCATGGCAGTCACAATGAAACCCTATCGCTTGGTGAAGCGCATACTACGAGAAATCATAACGTTATATTAAAAGCTACTTGATATTGAAAACCGATCCATTGGCAAATCACGCAGGAAGCTATATTTTCCTGTCTTGGTGGGTAAACAGTTTTAAGCATTTCCGTAATATTGTTTGGTTAGCAGCTAGTAGACACAAGAAGTGTCCAGATCCCACTCGGCTTGATAACAACTGGATGTAGGGTTGACAAAATGCTGTTGCGGGTATGGTGGCTTGGGGTAAGGTTCCTTAGGCATGGGAAGAAGCTGCTGGGATGCATGCGGGCTCACGGGTTTGGGTTCCCGACACTCTGGTTTGATGTAAGGTTTCTGTGAGTCAGGAAAAGCCATACTAAACAGAGCTTCTGGGCTGCAAACAAATTTATACACGTAGCGTTCGCCTGCAACCTTCTGCATTATTCCTTTCTCGTAATAATAACGAAGAGATCGGCTGAGCTTGTCGTAGTTCATAGCAGGACGGTTCTTCTGGATGCCCCACCTGCGAGCCACTTCTTCGGGATCGATAAGTTTAAATTCCATACCACGCCCTGTCCAAGCGATAAACGAGGAACATTCAGGCTCGTCCAAGAGAGCCACAAGGAACTGCCAAAGCTGTAACGACCCCCGTCTCTGAAAGGCCCTGGGTTCTGGATACGTGACACCACTCGGTACTTTAAACTCGGGAGCTGAAGGTTACAAAATAATACAGTGATTAAATGTTAGGAATCTTCTTATAGAATGAGAATGAAGTAGGACCAACAAGAGACAGATGAATAATGATAAGTCATTTTTGGGGGCATTTTAATACCTGTCAGTGATATTTATCGGGCCTTTTTCTGAAGTTCAACTTCATTTGGGGAACAACAGATGCATGGAAATCGAAAAAATGGATTCTATTAATTGTTAGTTTGAAGCTAGTCTAAGAAAGAAACAGAGCTTGCAAGACGATAAAATAAAACAAATAATACCACGAGACGAAAACAAAAACGGATAAAAGCGTATTAGCATATCGCGTAAACACACTGAACAAAGAACTGGCTGCTCGATCAAACGCCAAAGGCCGCGCTCGCTTTCTTTTGCAGATTAATCAGTGAGCAAAACACATTTGCACGCACAACAGGCCCAGATGCAGAGGAAGTGTTAAAGACTATTGGTGTACATCTGACAACTTGTAACACCCTAACACGCCGTTTTATATCGATTCTTTGAAAACAGTCGGCACGGATTATGACTGTAAACATAAAGAATACGTGAGTATTGTGTTGTGTGTGTTTCGTGCCATCCTGGAAAATACATACCGTACAACTTCGTGAGCAGGACATTTTTCTCTATAATTCATCGTTCAATTTACGTTAAGACAATAGAAATTGTTTACTTATGAACCATACTGAAAACATTTGTAAAATTTGTAAGGCATTCTGAAATCTAGCTGAGCTTTCTCAGATCACGGTAAATCAAAAACGATTTATAATTTTTTACAATCAAACTGGGAAGGACAAAAAATATATGAAATCATAAGAGTGCGACAAGAATGAATTGAATTCTACATTGTCGAAAAAAGTCACCCCAGTAGCAACTTGGCAAATTTCAAAAGATTTAATCATGTTTTACTTTATATTTTGTTGTTTCCTCATTTGGTGTCTTTCTTATTCACTGTGATCTAAGGCCATACCAATTAAGAACTTCTCTAATTTCTTGCCGAAGAATAGAAAAATTATTTGAAGTTTTTTTACAGTGTATTCAAATTAGACTGTGCCCATAAAATGCTACTTTGCGGCTGTCAGTAATTCAAAAAAAACAGACTGGCAGAGAAAAGCCATGCTTACGCGAATTGGCCAAGGCTTATCATAGAAAGAAATACGATGAAACTTGATTAATTGCAAGAAAACACCATTAGCTGAACTTCGACAAAGTGCCCAGAGATATGAAATGGCTCGTCTAACTTTCTATTGATATTCAAAACACTTTCAGTCGATTAGGCAACTTCAGCACAGCAGATGACGCATTTCTAAGGCCGAGGAAATTCTGTTTGCATAATATCCTCGGTTCGTAATACTCTGGCTGAGTCCAGGGCAATAGGTTTTGTGCAAAATTGCTTGCTTCGCGTGTGGGGTCATTTAGCGTTCGGTAGGTGATCTCTGCAAAAACGTTTGCATTTCACGTTTTAATTAAGTTACAAAACGAAAATAACAAATAAAAGATCGAAATTAATCTTGCGACGTGCAAAGTTCCCTTAACTGAATACAAATCAAACGAGTTTGACATTTGTCAAACGTCCTGAGAAGTGTGGCGTCACCCTGTTTGATTTCGCTAAAAGTAATTTATCTTCTAATTATTCAAAAAAGAGCTCAACGAAGCAACGCCTTATAGAAAAATACCCAAACTGATTAAAAAGACATTGCAGTTCCTACTGATTTTGGAACAAAACCGTATTCACACAGACTAAGTTGATTCTGTCGTTATTGTCTATTTTAGCTGCTTCAAGTGGTGCTAACATCCGGGCCTTTCAAATACGCTTTGCACGCCCATTCTGAAGCGAGGCAAAGATCTCGCCAAGAAAGTTGTCTTTTTGAAAAATATTTCTCTTAATCGGCAAGAAAACTTCCTGCAACTAATTGATGATGTAAAATCGAAAAGGAGTTGAGTTTTCCACCAATTTAAGCAATTAAATCTTAGCGGATAGTCGCGCTTTCTTAAAGCCACATTCGAATGAAAACCTTACAAAAAAAATTGCTCGGTTAAGAATAATGGTCAAGCAAAGATTACACTGTAGCTTTTATCCGGAAAACGGTTTTTTACGTTTAATGACAAGGTAATGGCAAAGTGTTTGATAAATATCTCTACGGTGTTCACGCGTCGCTTTCAATTTCTGGTCGAGCGCTTGCTGCTTTACGAATGCAATCAAAATAGCGCCTGTAATTAGTGTATAGAGAGATATCGAGCAGGCTTTTAAGACAAGAATCCTATCATTATTTATCATGCTAGAACATGGGATTTTGTCTAACGTTTAAGGGCGTATCATTAAATATCAGTTTAGAGTAGAAATCTACACGTCCCAAAAATTCCGTGGCTAAAAAAAGGGGTTGTGGAAATTTTAAAAGGGCAACATTTGATGTCCGTTTGGTTTTATTTCGACTGAGCGTGTGTCACACGGCAGGTGCAACCAAAGATTTAGTGCTTTTTTCAATAGCCGTCTTTGACATGGGCTTATTAGCGAAGAACAGAAAATCCCAAATAAAAACACCGTGTGATATCTGTGATACTTCGTTTACAGACTCGAGCTGCGTTGTATAAATCATATTAATTTGAGCTGCAAGTTTCTTCCGCTCTCTCAAGTAGTTGCACAAATATTTTGCCGTATTCGCTGCTGTTCAGTTTGCTGTCACACACACAAAAGAGTAAAGAGTTCTACAATATCTGCGTTTCATTTTAGCTGGAATAAACACCCTTCCCTGGAAAGTCTAACATGGGGCCCATCATTTTAAACGCAGTATTCTTGACAAACGTCTGCGGAAAAAAAAAAGATACTTAAATACTGCACTCACCGTCTCTGTAACTTGGTTTATGTTCTTTGAAGTCGGTGTACTTGTGGTATCTCTCTGCGTAAGGCAGAGGTTCGTCGTAAAACGAATGGACATTGGGATCATAGACGGCGGCTGAAAAAAAAATGTACACCGAAAATTATTACATTGTTTCGAATAATTCAATTTCGTATTTAGACAAAGATCGTGTTGTATTTCTTTTGACCTGAAATAAGAAGTTCGGGGTTCCTTTCAATATCATAAGTTTACCAGAAACAAAATTAAAACGATCGTACTTTTTCTTACCAAATGTTGAAGTAGAAGCCATTAATAGTAGCGCACTCCTTGGTCGTGGATGATGAATGAAACATGTCTAAAACTCCGGTCAGCTATTATTTAGCCACTAGCGAAAAAAAGCTGAATGCTGTTTTGTAACTTATTATGTCCGGTCGTATTTTTGCGCAAATAAAAGACAAAATGGTTAAGTCCTTAAGCACAGTGTTTTAGTAAAAATGGCCGTCAGGTATTGCGAGTACGTTACACCACGAGGCCGCCAACATTTACTGAACTTTCAATATTAAATACCACTTTGTCACTAGTATTATAATATTTTTCCTGCGAAGCGGATTTAACATTACGTACGTCCGTTTGATAACAGAAACGTTTAAACAGGAAAGGAAAGAGGCTTGTCACCAAGGAGCCTAAATCACTGGAATCTCAACTCAGTCTCGCTCTACCAAAGGACTTTTTACTTGAACGTGTTTTGTAAACTCTTTCTTCGCTCTTATATACTTTCAGTAAAAGCTAACGCTTATAAAGATCCTATACAAAAGGTTCAAGTTACTAGATTTGCTGGTCTCTTTTTCTTTTTGAAAGCACAAGTAAAAATTAACCCGTTTCCCGTTTTCGGAGTGTTTTAAAGTATAGACTCTTAAATCTCTGATCGTTTCCGCCCTTTCTTGTTGACATATCGCTTCCCGTTTACCACTGTAAATATCCTGTCTTTGGTATAAATTGAGGCTTCCCTTCCTCTTTATTCCAATATTCTAATGTATTTGAAGACCTTGAACATGGCTGTACTATGCGTGTACAAGTTAGGGCCGCATGTTCACTGGCAAGGGAAAAAAATCGCAGTTGTGCTATTAGCAAGAGGACCGTCAAAACAAAGCTGTAAGCGAATGGCGCTGTGCTCGCCTTCCGTCGGAGCTCCAACAGGGTGGAATCCACGTATCTTCAAAAACCTAGCAGTTTACAGGATAGCTTAGTTTATTCAAGTTCTTGAGCATAAACTGCTGTGGTCAGAAAGCTCGAAGATAAACACAACTACAAAGGAACAGTAATGGTGCAGTCGAGGAAGTCGAGGGGTATAAAACTAACCGAATGACACACAGCATGAATCGATTATGCGCCACAAAAAAAAAAACCATAAAATCATCTTCAAATTATTTGGGCAGAAATTATAGATTTTAGTTCATAATAAGCAGGATCAGTTCGGCTTGGCCGATTCACATAGAAGGAAGACCATCTATTAAACCGCAGGTGATTTCATTTGCCTGGAGGTTTTTTTTCTGTTTTTCTGAAACGCACGGGGCTTCCGTTTTCGAAATTAAAGAACCTGTAAAACATATTATTACTATTGGTTGTACTTTGTGTGTGAATGTTTTCTTGGTGCTGAACACTCAAGCGTACATTTGATTACCAGTTTCATAAGAAAATTTAAACTTTTCATAACACAGCAAAACTGTGAAGCTGTGAAAGGGCAAATTCAATTGACACAATAATTCTGGCAGCGTTGGGTTGATTGAATTGTGGGCAAAGTGTTTGATCTTGCCATGATCAGACGAAACTACCTACTTATGTAATTAACCGAATGAAAAGACCCAACGTCCGCATAAACAAGGACAAAATATAAACCCCATGAAATAATCGGCTATTCCTCGCATGGAGAGCAATTCAAACCGGTTCTTCACGAGTTTTGTGGAAGCCAAAGAAAGATAACTGCATTTAAAAGGAAAATAATTTCTTTGGTAACATTCCTGTTTCCTCTTCATATTCAAAATTCAACATTTTCGCATTTTCGTAAACGGCTACAGACAAAAGCTTTACCGAAAAGCTTCGTATGCGGAACTTCAACACACCTTAATTTCTTTATTTGTATAATAAAAAATGAGCAGAGTAAAGACGTGTGTTTTTTATTCTATTCACTGTCAATAAATGCTCTTTTTTTGTATAGCATTGCGCTTCTCTACATGATCGCACAAGAGAACAAATCTCGTCTCCCTCATTTGAGCGCAATTGGGAAATTAAAAGGTCATGTATAACACTTTTGCAACTAATTTTGTACCGGTAAGAGAAGACGGTTTTGTGCGCGTTCAATAGATGTTCAGGAGGAAGAGAACCCTAAAACACTAATCAGCTGAAATTTAGCCCATTCAACGCCGAAATACACCTGCGTCACGATTGTGAATTTTAAACGACTGTCCTGCACCGAGCAAATTAAATTACCTTTGACAATGCCGAGTAAATGGCTCTCAAAACCTAAACTAATTTTAAAAAGTTTGGAAAGGCCTATCATGTTTTACCATGCTTCAAGGCTTAAAATGTCCTTATGAATGTACCGCTGTCAACGTATAATTTAATTACAGAAATACAAAATGCAAACAATGGCTTCTTAGCTTGTGTGAAATCTGAAAGGTTGGATTGTAACACTACTTGGCATAGCGAATTTGAGGAACGGTGAGGAATGAATACCCGTTGTAGCTAAGCCGATGTTTCATCTTAAATGTAAACTAAGGGATCTTCCTAAAACCCTTTGAAAATGTTTTTACCTCAATTAGCGTGTATTTTTTTTTGTTAAGATTTTTAAGTGGAGAAAAGCATCATAACTCACACACAAAAAAAAACAACACATATAAAAACAAGAATACTAAAGTAAAGAGAATTTTTGAATCTAGAACGAGAAATGTTGGAAAATTATTCATATTGAATCGAAAATGAAAAAGAGCAAGAAATTGCTTTTGGGAGAGAGAGAGAGCATCTGGCTTTAGGCTGTCATGAGTTCATATGTGTTTGCCAAAGAAAATATTAAAGTGATGCAGCAATCATGCCAAAAAACATCTGCGCTCCAAATTTAAGATATTGTGTTCAGTTCACTCCATAACAATTAAAATTAATTTCAACATTTTCTATCATAAAATCAAAGCGCTATGAATATTCATAATGTGTGGGCTATCAAAATGTCTAATTAGAATGAAAAACAATTCAGCGAGTGGTATTGCACAATGAAGAAAAATTTACCTTCTGTTGAAGATGTTTGGAGGCCATAACACTCTGCTTGCTGATGCGCTTGATGGTGGAAAGACGCGAGACTTTGTAAACGTTCTGAAAGGAAAAAAGATAACATGAAGTCGCCAACAAACTGTATACAGCGTAAACCATTTGTTAGTGCTCTCATCACAAAAACATACATACGTTCTGAAAGCACCGAAACAAAAGAGCAAAGCTTAAAAACTTTACAACTCGTTCATTTATCGTTTTCCCAAAAATTTCACAAAACTGAAATGAGCAGCATTTACAAGCAAAACAGTTCTTCCTGTCAAACACGTGACACATTTCATGCACCGCTGTTAATCGAACCGGGGAATTGGAGTTGAAAAACTGTAGTAATTGCCGTAAAGATAGCAAAAAAGGCTTATTAAAAAATAACTTTCACTCTTCATAAAAGTTTCATTCCTAAATGAGTGAAGAAGAATTGAAAGGCTCTAGGAGGTCATGGCTTTAAAATTGTCTTTACATTTGTCAGTGGGGGAAAAAATCAAATAAAAATGTGATACAGACCAACAAAAGTGTTTCTTTCAACAAGTGTAAGGTTCAAGTGAAGAAAAAAAAAATTAAATTAACGCAAAAATACAGGAACTGATTTTAATTTGCCTTAGAAGCAGCAACACATGAAAATTTGTGAAAAACAAAACACAGTAGAAGCTAGAAAGAACAGTTCTCTTATTAACTGAGGAGTAAACCCTAGAAAATTGAGGCGAAAATCTTTTTTAATCATACCTTGTTCGTAGGGATTTTCACATGTCGTGTAATCGATAGGCTCTTGTTTGATGGAAGGATAACTGGGAGCTGGCGAAGAATCGAACGGCGTGCTGTCATAAGCTGCTGCTAGTTGTCTGTAACCCTTCATGCAGTGAAAACTTGATGGCTGCGCCGAGCAGGTGTATACCAAAGGGGAACTGCTTGAAGCGTGGCTTTCACTTATCATTCTCATGTAAGAAGAGTTGTCGTTGGTCTTGTCCATCTTGTTTGACTGCTTAAGTGTTGCTCGTCGAAGTAGCTCGGACTGCTGACACGCTCGCTCTCTGGGCTCGGCTTTAATGTGTGTGGCATAGCTGCCTACAAAACGAGAAAAAATATACCTCTAGACAAAAATGCCTATTCATTTTCAAAACAAAACTAACGTTATGAATGGCCTAAACAAAAAAGAATGCCTTATTTACATAATGAAAAAATGGGATGGGGGCAGAGCAAGGAAAACAAGCGAAATGTACAACTTTTGTTGGGAAAATAATACGCCGGGTGACTGTATTATGGCCGTCAAATCAAGGCTCGCTACAAAATAAGAAAAAAACTGGTATTTAACTTAGTTTTAGGCAAACAGAAACCTGAAAAATATTCATTGATATTTAAGGCCATTTATCGTCGCGGATCTTTTGATGCGGTTTTTAGTGACTTTTCTCCAGTTAGAGAACAGCTCTAAATTTATGAGCATCGTCACATTACAGCGGTCTTTTTAAGGCATAAATAAAATAAGCCCGAGGCAAAAACTTAGGCAAGATTGTGGGAGAGGTTGTCATCAGAGATAACACTAATTGCACTGGTGTTTCAGTAGTCAGAAATGGAACTTAAGGCACGTGTTTACCGACAAAATTCTACTTAATTAACGTTCCTCTAACAACTACACGGGAACACTGGGAAAAAAATTTATTGCTCTCCAAAAAGCGGAGTAACCGGAAAAGTCGTCGTAAAGAGAACGTAAAAATCGTTTTCCACTTCCCTTATACCTGTTGCTTTCTAACATACGCACATATAATTTTCTCAGAATATTTTTTTCGGGTAACACAATAATTTATTTGACAGTTACCTTCCTTCGGAGTTGTCGAGTTTCCTTCGATTTCGGGCACAAACTGTTCATCAGTGGTACTTGACTGGTATGGCCGCGCTTAAAAAAGCCACCAGCAAAAGAAAATTAAACGTTATACATCTAAAATCTAAGTTTAATGAATTCGGCGCTTTTTCATCAATTATTCAGGATGTTTCGTGCCCAACGTTAATAAAATTATCGCTAACTCGCCGCAAACTTCACGTTAACATAGTTACCTTCGATCATCCAGTGTTCTTGCATTTGGCACAAATCTTGAAACAATTCTGCATGAAGACGGAAAAACATCGCTCCGTCTTAATCACAATTTTTCTTATACCAGAAAAAAAAAATCATATCAGAGAGTATTGTGATGGAAGCGTAGTTTACCTTGCGAGTCGACAGAGAGATTTTCACCGTGGCCGCGAATTCGCTCCACGGGACTACAAGATTTGCGTTCGAGATGACAGGGTCTTGAGGAGAGCTGGTGAGAATAAATTGACAAAATCATTAATAAGTGGAGTAGAAATGAAAGCGTTTCTAAGCGAGAAAATGTTTGTGTTACCTGTGGGTACATGTGAGGAACCTCTTGGTCGTATGTAGAGTCGAACTGGTACATTCTAATCTCAGTGTGTAAGTTACACACCGCTTATGAAGAACTGTCCTTTGCGTATCGAGTCAAATAGCAGGCTTGTCGTTTGGTAGTTAACTAAGAAAACACGGCCGAAATAAAAACTAAAAAGGCGAACACCGTAATGGTATGAATTAATTTAGAGTTTGTAGTAAAAAATGGCAACTAGCGCTCTACTCTACTGTGTAATATTTGGTCGGCTTTGTCATATTCACACGAGATCATAGTTGTAGATTTTAGCTGTCCGCTTTTGATCAAATCTTTCATTTATAGCGAACGCGTTTCCCATTGGTTTACCAATTTATTCCTTTTGATGTATGATTGGTCATTTGCAAGTAGCAATTCACCGAGTGTCAATTTCTGTCTGTTGACCAATCAAAACAATGAAAACAATTAGTCTCATTTGGCACACGTTAGCTGTCGCCGCGAGTTGGCGAACGCGTGCCTAGTTTGTCATTCACCTATACACCTAATAACATGATCATATCCAGCAATCATTCACAAGGACCGTAAGTAAAACCTCCAAGGGGGCTGTACGAGGCGGAATAACTTTCCCGCCCGTAACACCGTTCGTTTTGCTCTTATACAGATCACCGGCGAAGCGATGTTCACTTCGTCCGTTCATTTTAGACGCAAGATTACAAAAAGACAAATTTTAAATAGTTGTTTATTTTGTTCTTTTTGGTGAAAATACGAGATGCGTGCGATTTAATTTCTAGGTTTATACCGGGGGGTGGTCCCCAAGGGGAAAGTACACGAAAAACCTGAAAGAAAGTAAAGTGGGATTTCCAATCATTTAGCACACTGAATGTGCGCTCCTGATGAGAACTGATTTTAATGCTCTTGCAAAAAAGAGGCTAAGCTTTGAAACAAAAAACCCCGTGGAAACCGAACATCAAGCACGCTAATTGGTATTGTGTGACGAGAAAATGAGTTAGCATTTTATTGTTCGTCCTATATACAGGTGACGATGAGATTCAGTTTTTCATCAATTCTAAAAAAATCTTTCCCAAACTTGACGATTATATTAGCAAACAATCTTTGTCTGTTTTGATAATTTTTCGCGGCAATTAAACGAACGAATTTTTTACGGGAAAGTACTATCTGGATAACCCTGGCCTTGTAATATTAGCAATTTATCTCGGCATTAAATGAATTTCTTAAGGTTCGTGAGAGCTAGCTGTTTAATGGAAAAATTTTCCCACGCTTTAATATGAATTGATGAGGACAGCTACACAATTTTTTTGCACAAATTCTCTGGAAATTGGACATTTTCAACTGCTTAGCAAACTTATTGTCCAGCTTTCTATCGGCGAAGTGGCATTTATTTCCGGGTCCCGCTCATTCTTTGATGTTGTTTGAGCAAACCATCAGACTAGTCATGCTTGTATTGAACTTTACTCATTCCCTTCTACACGCTACATTTGGCGGCAAGCACGTTCGTCATAATAACTTTCAGTCCAGCTTGATTGAGTTTTTCATCAAGCTTTATTTGAGCCTGTGTGCGTTGTTTTCGTATCTTTGTTGACTGTAGAGACTTACGTATCATATGTACGCATGCTTTTAAAATGAAACTGGAACACAGTGATAACAAAACTGACAAATTGAAGCGTAGGTGCGTCAGCCCTCGCAGTGCGCTCACGTCACGCATAACAACGCAACTTTTTTAGCGAAGCCGCACGGTCACGTACGAGACAGACACGCAGGAAATCGAAACTGCGTGATTCTGCTAAAGAAATAAAAGAACCGTGATCTTTATCGGTTTTGAAAGCGCTCTTTTGGGTTATCAATATTCGAAAGAGCGAGGTTTTTTAAAATAGAAATACAAATGATCAATTTTTCAATAAAAAAACACAATCGAAGAACTATAGAACAGGAGTTAATACGCACAAAATGGGAATTTGAAAAACACAAACAATCACATCATTTGATATTTCCTGCAAAATTCTCCGTCCTCTAACTTAAAAGGTTTGGAACCGATATGAGCTGACTTCTAACTGGATTGTGTTTGACACGAGACATTTGAAAGGAGACCGCAAACTACTTATATACTACGATAGCTAAATTCACCTTAAGCTTTAGAAAATGTTCGCCGAATAAAATCTAATCCCCTTTTTCTTCTGTTCTTCTTAGATGAACGAAATACTCTTTTTGTGATAAACAGAGAAATGAGTGTTAAACGGCTCGTCTTTAGTGCGAGCGCCGTGAATAACATGCCAAGCTAAATCTACTATCCACCTTTGGTAAACAAGAATTTCACAAAGTGAATGTAATGAAGTCGAGTTTTTTGATTTCGCTCTTAGTGGCTACATGTGATCCAGTAACGATATAAGTCGCTATCATTTAGAAGTTCGAAGCAAGCGGCACCTGACTGATAATAACACATTAGATATTCAGTCGCCATGAGCTGTGAAAATGTTAAAGCGCAGCAGCTGCAATTCTCGTTTACCTTTTCTTTCTTTTTACAATATCTCTAATAAGGCTTGGGCTTTGTTTCGACAAAATAAACGAAAATTATGAACAAACTCGCTCAGTTTATCCTCTCGTTCTAATTCTTTTTGCTTTACTCAATTCGCAAACCTGAATTTCGTAATTACAGCTTAGATTTGCTGGTAAGAACTTCCTTTCTGCTGGCATATTTGGTAACAACTTATCCAGTGGGAGTTAATTTTATTCACAAATTTAATTTATTGAAGAGTTTTTCTATAGCAATTGTTGTTTTTTTACGGCAGAAAGCCTAAATGTTTACTTCTCATCATTCGAATTGCTGCCGTGAAAAACAATAAGAGAAACACTTTACCCTCGTTGCTGTATTAAACAGAAAATATATTTTTTTTCGGGGTTGCCATGAAATTTGACATCTAAAGAAAGTTCTCTACTTAAGTGTAAAATGTTTGCTTATATTACAAACCCAGCGGACGGACAGATTCAACACTGTTACTGATATGAAACTCCCGCCTAAAAACTTCCATCGTCGCATCCAATTTTTCGCACTTTGACAACAATAAAAGATCATTTACGACTGAATCCGCGAAAACAAGACGGCTTCATCATGAAGCGAAAACGAAAGAAAGAAAACTATTCTTTTGGGGGGTCTTAGAGAGGTAGAAAAGATAAAGGTAACTTCACAAGTCAGTGAAAACAGAGAACGACAATAGCACGAACATAAGATTTAGTTACACCTGTTACAACGTGCAATGCGCACGCGTCACTAACATTCAAAACAAATTGTTCCCTCCTGGGGTTCGTCTTTGTCTTTTTCTTGGCAGTTTGTTCTTCATCAAAGATTTCCTTTTAAAAGAACAAATGTAAAGACATTTCTATGAATTTCTGCCTTGTTTTGACCGCAGAAAATGATCGCATACAGACCTTGAGTAGCCCTGTTTTGAAAATTATCGAGATTAAGAACATTAGAATATTTAATTAAATTATATTTAATTTATTTAATTTATTTTGACACAATTGCTTTGTCTTCTAAGTAATCTATAACTCTTCCTCCTTGCGCCATAATGAAACGCGACCAATTGATTTGTTAGTTTTAGGTCCCTTTCTAATGGAAAATCATCTCGGCCTTGTTTTCTATATAATTTACATGCAACGAGAACTTTAAAGAAGACGCCTGGATACACACTTGAAAAAACGTACGTTCGTAAAGTAAATCATTCTGTCGGTTTGCCGCGCGCTTTGATAGCAAGCTTCTGTGTATGACAGAATTTTCCGGAATTTTGATGGGATCTCAATTGCTGTTTGCTCTAGGGAAGAAATGAGAGCAGACGGAAAACCAAGCTAAATTACTTTAACTGTACTGGCGTACATTTAACGCGCTTCTTGTATACCAGGGGTTGCAGGGACTTGACATGTTCATTTCAAGTAACATTTAACGGACTCACCTTCTTCCGGTTGAAGAAAAAGGCCTTTTCGGAGTTTACTTTCTACAATGTTCCTGAGAGATTTCAAAAAGAGCCGTTTTCTTTCAAGATACTAAGTAAGTCGTTAACTCGTCGCTGAGGCGTATTCAATAGCTTTTTGCCGACCACGCTAACCCAATCTGCAAGCTAAATTGTTCCTTTGAAACTCGTACATTTAAAGATGGATAATATTCTAATTCATTCACGTGAGTCAGTCGGTGTTCAGCTGCATGGTAAAATTAGTAATATGCATTTAGAGATGAAGTTATTAGTTAAAACTCCGTATAATTGAAACGATATAGAGTTTCCAAAGCTTAGGTGCACTTTAACAATAAAACTAGTTTTTCTTTGGCCATGCGATCGGGAATAGTTAATTCTGTTCTCAAAAAAAAAAACATAAAAAAAAACCGGGAAAATTCGATAAAAAAATTTCTCATCAGCTTGAATTTTCTTCCTTTTCTGAAAGCACCGACCGTGTTTTGTCATAATGTTTTGCCACAATTTATGCTTTATCTTAAAGAAAGGAACAATTGCTAGAATGATTTTCCAATCGTATTTTCTTGGCGCTCACCGAAATTCTGTCTTTCGTATGTTGTGGGCTTAAAATAGTTTTTATTTTGTTTTCCTCAGAAGTGCTAGCAGAATTATTCTTCGATCAGTGGAAACTGGATTAATAACGCAGAAGCAATTAAACCTTTGTTTATGAGGCTTAATTGACAAAATGAAAAATCGGGCATTTCGTTATATTACACGTCCAAACATAACAAGTCTTTGTTTGGTTGCTTTTAATTCCACCCCTTTTAACGCCTTTGCCTCATCAGGGCATAAATCAATTTTTTTTATCTTAAGAATAGGGCTGGTGTTTCTCACTCCTACACACCAATACAAAATTGCACAAGGACCCGTCGCTGAACTTTAGCTCACAAAAGTCTAACACTGGGTCCAAAATTGTGCATGATTGTGTTTTCTAGCACCTTATGCTGAGTAGAACTTAGAACACAGTAATTTTAAATAAACCTATTAAACATGAAAATATGACTCAAAATGGTAGCAGCTGAACTGAAACTGTAGCTTCTATGATTACTTGTTAATTTTTGCAGAGGATGCTAAGTCTTAGAGACAGCTTTAAAATTAGAAAAATCTCACTGGCTTCAATATAAGGGAAAATTGAACAGGCAATGTCAAAAATCATTATTGTCCTGCCAAGATTTCTATTATATCATACTCCATTGCTAGTCCTAAAAGATAATTACTTTTTAGAAATCGGAAATATTTCTATGTTGGTATTCATCTTTTCAAGTCGTACGTGTTGAAGTAAGTTTGTGTTAATCGTGGCTCGATTCAGTCCACCTACCCTCGCCGGAAACCCATCACGTTTAATTGATATTATCACACTCTTTTCGCGTCCTCTTTCTAACAAATCCCTCCTGAATTAGCGAATTAAGTTTTTCCGGAGATCTTTTCACCGTAACAATGGTGATAAATATACGCTCGGTATGCGGTGAATTGTTAGCATTTTAGCGCGTGTTTCTCGCCTTCGTTCCAAAAGTAGACAAGTTAAAGTAATTACAAGGAAGCGAAGTGATCGCACGTTATGGCTAAGGACATGTAAACAGAAAAAAAGAAGTGATCCTTTGTTGTTCTCAAGTTTTCAATAGATATAATTACTCACATTATGTATATTGAAATCCCCAATGTCTGCCCGTGCCCATCAGCATCATACGTACCGTATATTAGTTCAGTAAAAACTGGTAGGGCAAAGTATTTGCTTGGTTTCACCAAGGTGGAAGATAAATGCAATATCATTGAAGAGGGGTTATGTATTATTTAGATCCATGTAAAGCAATATTCCCTTTAAACATTACTCTGTGGTATTTTAAATTTGCTTGCCGTCAGTAAGTCTGTTAACCTTGGTTACCTCCTTCTCATCACGCACTTGTTTCTTGTTTATCCTCTCTTAGAAAATCGATAAAATGAGAGCTTTTTTAAATTAATTATTTCTTATAGAAAAAGTGATTTAAAGAGCGTTGTTATGTGTTTCACTAAGACTTAAAAAAGTATGGTACTTTCAGAATGGCCTTCAATCCAGGGATATCTATATTAAGGAAGTAATTAAACAATAAATATGATAAAACCATCCGCTATCAAGAAACAACGTTAACCCGAGCATTTAATACAAAACCCTACTTAGCGCTGGTGAAATCTGTAAGGCTGCGTTCACTGCATGACGCACCGGATTCGCAAAGGAAGCGAAATTTGTACTACCAAGACTGTCTAATATAGAACAGTTCTATCCTGTCAATGCGTTATTAATTTAATAAGAGCGCGCGATCAACATATCAATTTTCCTTTCAAGCAAAAACACTACATAAAGCTTGAATTAATATAAATGTCTGTCAGCAAGTGAGGAGAATTGATCTTTTGCAGTTGAAGCGTGAAGGTGCCAGGAACTGTATGCTCACTTGTCTCACTCACAACCATGGCTTGATTGGCAGACTCATTAACTATGGCAGACTTAAACATTCCTGTTTTGGAAAATCTTTTCGAATGCAGACATTTCGATATATTAACATTATACTTGATGCTGAAGCTTTTTTCGCAAAGTAACACTTTGAATTCTATTGTTTAAAACTTGAAACTTTCGCTAACGAGTAAGAAGTTTAATTTGTCGAAATTTGGTGGATTTCTGCGAGGGAAACTAAAAGAATTTAACAAGTGCTGGAACTCACTGGCTTTTCGACTCATCAATGTAAACGGTTTTATTTTCATGTGGGTGTTTTATCGAATCTATTAGATTATTAGATGACGGCTACGCTTAAAAATTGCGGATTAAGGGAAAGATTTCTCTTGAAGAAAAAAGACCATTAAGCAGTGTACCAAGTTTAGAATCATCATTCATGAATGCGGTTAAAATGTATAGTTACCATGAACATTAAATCCCCGGAAAAATGTTTAAGGTGTGGTAGATTTATTACCATATATCGCTTTGGAAACTACTGTAAAACTTGAACTTTTCAAAACAAGAATAAGTAAGGTGGTTATTTGTTACAAATTCCGGATGTTGACGCGGTCAATGAAACACAGTTTATCTTCTAAGCGGCATGGAAAAGCGATCTGAGACTTCTTTTGTCAAGAGAAAACAGCCTCTAGCCGATAATTTATTCATCCTGAATTCTCCAAACAACAGCTTTGTTTAGAAAGATACGCACATCAAACCCAGAAACTAAAGATTATAATACAAATTTCCGTGATGATGCTGGAAAGGAGGCTGTACCTATTTTTCTTTGTTGAAGGTTGTTCAGTTTGCGTAGGAGCTACGTGCATTTTCCAGCTGCAAGGCAGTTTTACGAGTAATTCTTGTAACAGCTACGTTTTAGTTACTTTGTAATGATATTTTACGTAGACTGTTTTTCTTTCCACGGCTGTTTCCTCTCTGGAAACCCTGATTCCGCCCGCGTTATTGTGCTCTCAGTGAACGGACAGCTGATTATGCCGTTCGTGCGTAAACACTTTGCTAACATAACATCTAGAACAGCAGTGAAATTTAGCATTGACGTTGTACATTTATCAAGTTAAAACTAGTTCCTCCTCTCGTGGTCTCCTTTCTTCAAACTTTTTGTCTTTTCCCTGTTTCCCTCTTAGACCACACTGACATTTTGGAACCGTCAATTCAGATTTCGATCATGCTCCAGGCATTTGTAGGACATCTGACAAGTTGCCGGTCCAACTCATGGGGCACTTGTTAGCTAAGGGCTGTACAAGGGTTGACTGAATTTGCCAATTTATGCGTCAACGGAGAAATTAACATAAGCACGGTTAAAAAAAGAAACCCTGTTTTATATAAAATCAAAAGACTTAACTCCGCTCTCCAACCACCTGACCACCTCCACAAATTCGTATTTGCTCTAAATGTAGGAAGACCAACAGACTGACACTACCGTCACAGTCCACGGGTTTAATGATTTTTGTTGAATATACAAATGGTGACGGGTATTTCAATGAGTCTTCATGGGCTTGACGTTTTGTTTGATCGGTATGCGCAAGCCCTCTCCCATTCTTGGTTAATTTTGACAACAAGAACAACTTTATTAATGTGTCAATCTACTGGCTGGCTAGAGGGAACCTAGTTACTGGGGACACCTAAGACTTAATGTATACTCATATATATTGAAAATTGAATATAAGGCCTACGCACACTGGTCGAGTTTTTGTCGGCCGACAAAAAATCTTCACTTGTCGGCTAGTGTGCGGTACATTCAGACAGCGGTTAGTCGCGACAAAAAGTCGGCTAGTGTGCGGCAGCCTTTAGCTAACCACGACGACGACGGCGACAAGAACGTCACGAAACAATAGGTTTGATGAGTAGAACAATAGCTGTGCACGTGCGTTATAAATCTGTGTTCATTTCTTTGCCGTCCTCTGCAAAACAACAACGTGAAATGGCCAAGTTCTGTGTTGTCTGAACTCGAACGACAACGGCCAATTTTTTCGTAATTCCCTTTTGAATTGAACGCTGTTATTGCATACTTTGCCTTAGCACGTTTTTAGAGCCATGGGTGTACTGAACAGAACCGTCGTCGTTGTTTAAGCTCCCTAAAGCCTGGTTTTCACTAGCTACGCAAGCACAAGCGCAAGCGCAATAATTTTTATTTCACCTTGGAAACGGCCTTGACGCAGGCATAAGCACAAGGATCAAAATGTTTCCTTTTTCTTGTGCTTTCGCTTATGCTTGCGTTCGCGCTGCAACAAGTGAAAGCGAAATACCGCTCAGGCATAACACAAGCACAAGGATCTTACCACACCTGGTTAAGTTTGGTTTAGTGAAAACACTGGATCTAGATTACTACAAGCACAAGAACCTTTGCTTGTGCTTGTGTTTGCGTCGAATTTCGTTTTTACTTGGGTCATCCCTATTGCTTTCTTTTGTGCTTGCGCTTGTGCTTGCGTCGCTAGTGAAAACCAGGCTTAAGCAAAACACTACGGCAACGACAACGAGAACGTCACCAAACAAAAGGTTTAATGAGCAAAACAATAGCCGTGCACGTGCGTTATAATTCTTGGTACATTTCCTTGCCGTCCTCGGCAAATCAACAACGTGAAATTACCAATTTCCAAGTTTTATGACAACGGGATCCACTACGGCTAATTTTTTGCATTTTCACTTGGAACTGAACGCATTCGTAGATATTCAGCAGGGGCAAGTTTTAATACCGACAAACACACTGAATAGATCTAAGTAAATGCGAAATTCCAAAGTGAAAGATAAACACACTTTTTAACAGGCGTCGTCCTCGCCGTCGCCGTCGTATATGTGTAAGGTCCCTAATAAAATAAGACAGCGCACGTAATTTTCAAATTGTCCTAAGGGACTGTTTATTTTTTATG